GCTCATGCCAATTGAGGGTTAGTTGGTAACACACTCTTTGGCCTAGTCAACGGTGATGCTAATTGAACATGTAAATATAATCATAAAGAATTATGTGTATATGAAACTGCTGGTATCACTGTATGGCAGCCGGAGGGTTTTCCAATGACTGAATCAGCATACAGGACCAGTTCGAAAACATTAGTTTATGATATTTGGGGCTGGAGGGGTTAGTATGTATGCAAGATGTCCATCCAACAAAATCAACATTTCAGTGTTTTTTACCGTTCAATAAATAACAGCTATTATCATGATATGTTGACTCTGAAATGAACAGCATCACTGTCAGAATGATGTCATAACCTTCCTTCCATTGTATGTGGATGTAGCTCAACATGCCAGGTGACCCATGAAGATCCGGGGTAGAATAGGTCTTCAGCAACCCATGTTTGCCGGAAAAGGCGACAATGCTTGTCGTAAGAGGTGAATTACGAGATCGAATGGTCAGGCTCGCTGACTTGGTTGATGCATGTCATTGTATCCCAATTGCGTAGATCGATGCTCATGATGTCCATCACTGGATTGCTTGGTCCAGACTCGATTATTTACAGACCACCATCATATAGCTGGAATTTTGCAGAGTGCAGCATTAAACAACAAACGAAATGTCTGGCATTTGGAAAAATGTTCCCTGATGGAAAATCAGGATTGTGTAACTCATGGTGCTTTTTGAGGAGTTTTTCTATTTTCTTTCAGATATATGCCTTTCACAATGTCTTCCCCAAACACCATGATATCACTGTATCATTCTCTGGGGATCTTGAATAGGAACTTATTTGCCCACTTTTTCTCAGACAAATTAATCATTACTTAATTCTGCTGATGGACATAGTTTCTGTAGTACATGTGGAAATGCTTTCAATGCTATATTATTGCAATCGTGAATGGCAAAGAGCCAGTGCATTAACTGAATCACGTTATTTGCCAGAGAATTATAGTCATAATTTGGTTACCAAGGTAACACATTACCAAGCATGATTCATTGTGACGTTATTAGCAATTTCTTTTACCTAGCTTATGTTCCTGCATCAGATGATATTAGTCTTTGATAGAAGAGTACCTGATGAATTGTACTGTATAATTACATTACAATGTTTTCTTCACACGTCATAACATCATACATAATTCAGCACAGGTGTCAACTTCCATGTGGTAACAGAACTTTGGACAGACAGTGAAGTGATGTTAAGAAAAAGCTGTTGTATAATCATCTAATTAATAATTCAAATGGATACTTCAATGAAAGGCACTGTAATATACTTTGATAAATAGCAAGTATTGTGAAAGGGCTTTTGTGAAATTTTTTATCTGACTAATTGTGTTTCTTGCAAGACCTTTAAGCTCAGATGTGCTGATTGACAATGACAAACTTACTAATAAAGACAGTAGGCTTTGATAAAAAAATCATTTCAATTTTCATGTCTAAAGATACATACCAACAAGAACTGATTTACTTTGATAAATAATTGACTGAAGCCAACAATACACTACAATAATGTACAATCTTGCAACTTTTCCACAAAAAAGTTGAATAAAAATGTTTACTGTTTCATTAAAACCGTACCATATTTTGAATTCAAAGGCATGTTGAATTCAAATTCTTTCAAAGAAATGTTAGTTTCAGCTAACAAAATTCTCATAACCATCAAGGTGCATAAGGGACATTCTCCAAATCAATTCCTGCTCATGTCATTTACTGAAAGAAATGACAAATGAATAATTCACTGTTGTCATTCCACATTTACAAAACCTGGACAAGATTTTGAGGTTGAGAAATGGTTGTTTTATATACTGTGGTAAAAGTAAACTCGTGAAGATTTTTCTTGCTGCTACATATTGATACATTGACTGTCTGCAATGTCAACAAGTTGACTTAAATATGAGGTGAGGTGAAATGGGGTTCAACGTTGCGTCCCAAGATTATTGCACTTATATCGCGACGTGTGCGTGTCTGAGACAGACAGACAGACAGACAGGCAGACAGGCAGAGATGCCAGCCCACAGAGGTGCTAGCCCACTTAAATACCATGCAGCAGTTTAACATGAATACCCCACTCAGACACAGTACACTGACTCAGAGCCGACCAGTCCTTGTTTTAGCCCCTTAATGCCAAGTGCCAAACAGGGTAACAACAAGTACTATCGTTTAATATGTCTGCCTGTATAACACACCAGGGGATCGAACCCATGATCTTCCCTTCTCCGGGCGGATGCTCTACCACTAGACTACGTGGGCAGTTGACTGGAATATGAACAACTGACTTGCCTTTGCATGAGTTTGTGATGGTAGCTCATCTTTTCACAAACACCTGGTATCATCACTATTTGATAGTGGTTTGATAGTGAATCCTAAAATGGAGATTTGTTATTATTTTGAAAATGTTGTTTGTCTCCTTAAGTTTCAGTTTCGTATTTCAAGCTTGCATGAAAACAGTTACTGTTCAGATCAGCGTAAACAAAAATAGTTAATTAATTGTTTTTTTAGTTTAAAACATGTCATCAAATGTTAACTCATACATCAACATATGCTTTAGTGCCCCTTCTGAATCTGGTGGGGTAGGGTGATCCAGTCATCTATGGCGTTGCAATTCAGGGGCAGAGTTGCTTGCCTTGGTCATGCCAGAAACCTATGATTGTGGTTTTGATTCCCGGTTCGTCCTGATAATTTTTCTGGGTTTGTCAACACCATACCCGTGCTTGTGGGTTTTACCAAAGTGTTAAACGTCTAGGACTTGCATCACTTCGGGCTTTCTCCATCATCAAGCTGACACACCGTGCTACTGGAATATTGTTCAAAGTAACATTAAACCACTTACAAACAAATGAACAAATGAACAAACAAATGAATGATATGAATCAAGTGCAATTTAGCAATTCTCAAAGTTAGTAAATGTGTTCATTGCTCGCACCATGGGTTTGATTCTCCTTGTGGGTAAAATACAGTATTTGCATGAAACATTTTACCTCAATTCATTTTTACTATTGAAATTATATCATGTTCGTATCATTGAAATTCTCTGTTCTGCTTTTCATTTGTACAGAACACAAAACATATTCAAGGAGAAGAAATTCTTTAAACTCGGACATGTAACAGTAATGCAACAGCATTTATATAGCTTTCTGTATTGTATTTTCAAGAAATTAGGTCATGCCCTTTTCAAAGATCTCTGAGGGAGTTTTATCAGCTATTGACCCTTGAACACTTACAACTCAGAATTATCATGTGTACCAGGTCATATATTATCTGAGATAAAGTCAGCGCAGTTAGGGTGATAAGACCTAGAATTGCACAAGAAACTTGAGTGGGACTATATATCTGACAGAAATATGCAGTCCAGATAGAAACCATATCCAACATGTTCATGATTCCATATCTGTTTTCGAATTTTGAGGTAGGTACACTTAAGTGTCAGATACAAATTATTTGTTTCAGGCCTTTTGCTAAAAAATTTTAACGTATTAACAGTTGCATTTTGGATAATTTGGATGAAAACTTGATAGGATGGGTATATATTATTTGACACTGTAATCATTTTTGTTTTTGTCACAGCTATGGACAATATTTTTAACGTTTGCTTGAATGGAGCAAAGGTATTTTCTGTAGCAATGTGTATGCTCCCCCAATGTGAAGTAATATTTATCTGATTGATCAAGCATGAATGTTTAGGTATTCCAGTGTAAAACGATCCATCTCTGGGGAATGATACCATCTACCAGTCAGACATCTGATACTAAATATATAATGGTTTCTAAGTATCAGTGATCCTGTGACTTTTTCTTGTGTCTCTGTTGTTCTGGAGATTATTTAGGACATGGAGTGTATTTCAGCAAGATATATTTAGGACATGGAGTGTATTTCACCAAGATAGAAAGACCATTGTTGTCAGTGACTGAAGATTGAATAGTGAGAACAAAAGACATAGGATACAATAACTGGCAGAGTTTTTTTGTTATCTTTATAAGATAGTTAAGTTTTGAGAGCAATTAATTGTATCAGTGACTGTATTTCGTATTTTGTTTGTAGAGAATGGCTTCTTCTATGTCGGTTTGATCCTTCAGAAATATGATGTCATTCAGTATGAAATCTTGTGTTATTCAGTGCCATATTTCTTAATATCAGTGTTGTGGAAATGTAATATTGTGTCTTTCAAAGCGAAATCTTGTCTCACTTTCATTGCAATACTTAGGGTCAGCTTTGTTGAAATGTAATATTGTGTGAAATGTGAAATCTGTTGTCATTCAGTGATGTGAAATATATATGGTGTTATTCCTGAACTTAAATTCTCCTTAACCAGAGACTAAAACGGTACCCTACAAAGTATTTCAAACCCACTTTGTTGTCTGTAAGCTCACATAATATGATGCATATCAGTCTGGCAGTTAACTACTGACCTTCATAACACACAGTCATGGGCTAACAAACCATGGTAGTGAGTGACTTGGTTTTAAGGTGCTTTTGACAGTTTTCCATTTGTATCACGGCATGTCAGCTTAATGTACGTGGAAGGAAAACCTGAAGTGATTCAGATCTTAGATGTTTACCACTTTGGTGAAACCCACAAACACAGGCATAATGTTGACAAAGCTAGAAACATAGCTGAGGCAAACAGGGTTTAGAACCCACAATCATAGGTTTCTGGCATGCCCAAGGGATGCAACTCTGTAAAGCAAATTGCAGCTTTTACGACTGCTCCACCCATGCCCCGACAAACCAGGAATCATTATGAGGTGCATCTGAGCTACAGCCCCATGATCATAAGATTCTGGCATGCCTAAAGGACATTATTCTGTAAAGTAAATTTTCCGTGTTAGATGACTGACCATCCTTGAGTTACTAAGTTACAATGACTGAACAAAGTAAAAATGTCTATCATTAACACGTCTGCAGCAAACATCTTTTCTGGCCTTGCTGGCAGGATGTATGGCACAGGTTGTTAAAATGACATTTCTTTGATTGACAGGTTACCAGGTTGCCTTGCACATGTCAGCCAATGAATAACAACATCAGTTTCATGTGTTGATAAGGGCTTGGGTGAAGATGGTCGGAGATTGTATAAAACTGTTAATTGTGAATGAGAAGTGCATTCAAAAGCAAGGATGATGTCTGTTGTGTGTTTCTCGGGAGATGGAAAACTGGCAAGTAAAGTTTGTATATTAATCACTCATAAACATCCATAACATCACTGAAAATATTGAATATTCAACATAAAACAAATAAGTATATATATATATGGATGAACCACTCCTACCTTTTGTAATTGTAAACAATGACTTTCTTGATTATGATTTGCTTTCCAAACAATTATTTCATTATGTGGGGACATCCTTTTTGATCAATAGATATATTCAAAAAAATAAATTGAATATTCCATGAAAACTTATTGTTGAATATATCCTGCTTAATTGATCAATATTCAACCCTGCCAAGTTTAGTACACCATGCAGGCTCATCATCTAAATGAGCTTTCAAATGGCATGGTGTTATGTCGATCGTCTGTCAATTTGTTGCCTAACTCTCTGACAAATACCTTCCTATACAACTGTAGGATAATGCCATGAACCATGATCAAACTCCAAAATGTGGTTTGTTTGAATTTCATTTTTTAGACCACATTTTGAATTTTGTTTGGAATCTTCAGAACTCTTATCTTAAATGACATGTTGATGGCAGGAAAAATGAAAAAGATTGTCAATTGATATTTAAAAAAAATCACTGAAAACCCTTGTCATTTAAAGGGTGATGGGGTAGCTGATAGCGTTTACTCATCACACTGGGTTTGATTCCTCAATGTACAATGTGTGTAGCTCATTTCTGGTGTCCCCAATCGTCTTATTGATGGAATATTGCTAAAAGTTGCATAAAACCGTACTCACTTACTCACTCTTCACTTTAAAATACCACTGCACTTAATACAAAGTTATTGGAATTATAGGACCATAGCTGTTTCAGATCAAATGCATCTGGTGACCAGCAATACCCTGATACATTGTGTGAGAATTATTACTTGCATGTTGACAATGGTACAGAAATTCTAAACATATTGTATGTCTGTGCAAAGTAAAACATGTAACACTGTTGGTAGTTCAATAATTCATATTCACATATTCTATGTATAATATGTTAATGTATAAAATGTTTTAGTTATGAATTGAACAAAAATGAGATACATATTTATTCTGATTTTCAATAAAAGGTTATTTTTTATCAGAATAATATTTCTGAATCAAATGTTAAGGCAAAAGATGCCATTTTTCAGATATTTTACATTTTTGTACACGTGATGTATGTGTTCGTGCAGATTAGCAATGATAAGAAGCAATGGTTTATTCATTATTAGATATTCATCAGAGAATGCTGTTTCCTAAAATTTCCTAAAACAATATTCCAGTACCGATAATTACATTTGATCACAGCACAAATGAATCATTAGACACTGGTGAATATTATAGTATTGTATTTTTAATGTATGTCATATATTTCTCACATACATTTACTTTACCTTTATGGTATGTTTTCATCAATATTTAATTATTCCATCGTTATTATTCAATGACACATAAGCTTAAATGATGTCATTAGATTTTACTAAATACCTACTAGGCAAAGGAACTGAAATGCTTTATGAATTTTAAAATACATCAACTGCAAGATTGTTTAAATAGATTATACAATAAGTATATCCTGGATAATGTTAAGAAGCATATTTTATGTCGATGGCTACATTGAAAAAGAACCAGTATTCTTCATTTGATTGTTCACCCAATACTGTTTGTTGCTGATTATTGAAATATACCAAGGTATGATGGGTAAGTTGCAATTTTTTATGGCAAAATATTTTATCCCATAATGGAATCTGAATGGCCATTTTGGGGATGTGTCCTTCAATGATTTGATTACAGATGAGGTGAAGTGAAAATGGGGTTTAAGGTCGTGTTCAAGATTATTTATCACATTTTGTGATGTGCATGCAAGTGTGTGCGCGGCTGCTTGAACTCGTCTGGACTTGTGCTATTTTCAGGACAGTCGTTTTGTATTCCCACTAACCCTGTTTTTGAAAGCAGTCCATAAACCAAGTAACAAGAATTAAAAGGCCTTACTTTGGTTTACTTTCAGGTTCTACGCAATGTCCATCAGGCTAGCTCAGGATGCCCGTGTTGAGGAGGTGGATGGTAACACGTAATTTTGACAAAGGATGCATGACAACAGTGAGTGGAACAGGAGTGTGCACAGGAACAATTACTGGAGGCCATCACAAGGATTGTATCTCCCAAACACAGATAGAACAAGGGAGCCAAATGGAAGATCCACAGCTCAAGGTTTCTCAAGATACTCAGATAACTACCGACACAGGCACACAGACCAGAGATCACATGATTTCAAGTGGCATAATTACCCTAGGAGTCTATACCAGGGCACCTATAGTCAAAGTTTTGGAGCTGCAATACAACCTTCTATTCCTATGGCTCCAAGACATAGGAAAAGGAAGGGTAGAGACAGAGGTGGGAGTCGCCCATTTCCTTCTAAACTAGTTGAAAAGATTGCAGATGACAGCACTGCTGCTTCCACAGTTTCATCATCATCTTCATATACATCTTCATCACATAATAAACATTCAGCAAGCACTGTGTCATCAACAAAGCATCTATCTTCATCATTGAGTTCACACAAGTTCTTAGGTGCAAATCCTTCATCAAGGCCAGATGACAACGGTTCTAGAGGTGGTGAAAGTTCAAAGCAGGGATCTTCACTTAATGTGAAGCTTCATTCTGCTAATGTGCCAACTAGACCACCTGTTTCTTCATCAGGGACTATATCCAAATCTTCAACCTCATCCTCTTCCACTGCTGTTTCAACAGCAGCATCAACAAGTTCCTCATTATCTTCATTGTCAAGTTCAACTGAACTCCCAAAGTCCTTACCAAATATTGCTCAAACTTACTCTGTGTCAGTATCGTCAAATAATCTTCCCAAAGTAAAGATTCTGAAACACAGTTCTCCAGGTACTTCAAAGCCAATACCAATGTCAACTCTTGCCTACTGTGAGAGCATTCCTCACCTAAAAGACATACTACACAAAAGACCTGTAGTTATGCTTGAGAAATTGACAGAAAAACTCATCAGAATGAAACTGAAACACAATGGACTCTGTTTAAAGGGAAACTGGCGCAGTATGCTGCACAAGCAGCGTAAGAAAAAAACTGACAACCAGAAAAAAGAAGACAAAATACAGAAGAAAAAATCATTAAAGTTAATACTTTCAATGAATTCTAAGGGCATGATTGATAAGAAAAAAAACAAGCTAAAAAAAGACCATTCTAATCATAAAAATAATAAAAGTGAATTTTTGAATTCAGAAAACATCCTTGACACAAGAGATAGCAAAACGAGTTCATCACTCTTAGTTGACCCAAAGGTTATGTCACTTTCCCGTCCATTACAATCTGCATACAGCAATAATGCCTCCATGACCAAGATGCCTTTTAAACATTCAGGGAGAGTGATAAATCCATCCAAGACATTTCACCCCAAACCAACAGGACCCATGCCCAAACACATGCAAATGTTTGACCTGGATAAGCTGAGGACAAAACTGAAAGGTGCTAACTTTGGTGGTTCTGGCAGAAAGCCTGGGCCCTTCTTAAACACAAACTTAGATATGCATAATACTGAGTTGTTAAGATCATCAGAAGATGTTCCTGTGCTTATAAGTAAGTTTTCAGCACCCTCATCAGATACTACTGATATCATTAGTCCCATGTCAGGTTTGGATGACAACATGATTGTTAGAAGTGATGTGAGAGAGGATATGATTACTGATGATGGATCAGTAGGTTCTGACTCTGAACATAGTTGTCATTCTGACACACATGCTGAGAGCAATATAGGAAAGGAGATGGCTGCTGATGAAGAACACATTGATACTCAAAACACTGATCATAAAGGGAATGAAGTAAGTTGTGAGTGTGTCATTGATAAATGTGCTGCTGATTCATCTGGAGATGCTACTGACTTTCATAACCCTGAGGATCATGATCAGTCTGTAGGTGATTCTTCAGGTCCATCTGATAGCTGGCTTGTTGAAGAACCAGTTGTCCCTACAGAACCTGAGCTGTCTTCTGTGCCAACACTAGTACCAGAAACTGAGCGTAAATCTGTTGTTGATAGTGCTAAGGATATTTCAGATTTGATGAGCAAATCAGCAGATGGACTGGAAGAGAAGGGGTCATCGATTGAGATTGGTGAAGTTGAGGGGGATGTAAGTGATATGCACCAAGAGAGTAAATTGAAAGATATAATAGATAATGAAGTTGATTCTTCTTTGCAACCTGATGATGATTCTCCAATGGACAAGAAGGAGTGTTCTCTTGAAGAGAAAGATGATTATTTTCCTGATAAAATAAAACTTGTGTCACTGGACAAAGCAGAGGTAACAGACAAAGATGTTATTGACAGCACAGTTCCTGTTGACAATTCAGGGACTATTTCTGCAGACAATGATAAAGAAACTTTGTTCGAAACCAGAAGTGTAGATTGTAATCTACAGAGTTCAGATGGAATGGCAAAAGAAACATCCAGTACCTTGGAACAACAGTGCTCTGTTTCTAAGGACTCAAATGACAACGTAATGTTGGTGAACAATGATGACAGGAGTCAAGAAATTGGAAGCCCAAGAGAAAGTATATGTGAGAAAGAGGAATTGAGTTCTCAGCAAAGTGTTCCTTTGAGTAGTCAGGAAAGAGACCCTGTTCTTTATGACAATGAGGCAAACAGTGCATCAGGCACCTTGGTTGACAATGCTGTGAAATCCCCTCATTCACTGACTGATATTTGCCACGGGTTCCTGAAAAAGCAGGACATGCATTTTAGATTGCCAAGTTCAGAAGGCAATGTGGACACTGAAGCTACCAAGGTTCAAGTCGATGGAGAAAATGCATCTGCAACATCATTGGAAAACCCAGAAACTAATTTGAATAATGAAGAAAGAGAAAGTAATTCTCAGTGCCTTACTGATAAATCTAATAAAGATGCTATGGCTGTTGACTTAAGAAGTGATGTGGCCATTGATCTATCCAGTTCCAGGACTGATGATGATTTGTCACCAGTGTGCATTATTTCATCTGTGGAAAGTGGTGCTCATATCTATTTCAGTGAATCTGATTCTGATCTCAAACCAAACACCAAGACTGATGAACAGAAAGAGATGCAAATGAGTGGTCAAACTTCCTTGGCAACCTCTTCACAGTCACAAAGTATTACATCAGAAACTATTGTTACAAACACTGCAAGTTCGACAGCCATTATTCCTAATACAGAGCAATCTAGACATGATACCATTACTCCTACATCTAGTGGTATTCAAGATTTCTTTTCTGCTGGACTAGTATCAAATTCTTATCCGGTGATAGTGACTTCCTCAATTCCAGTGTATCCCATTCCAGATGTAAGCTCTGTGATCCAGCCTATCTTACTAACTTCCCAAAGCACAAATTTGGCCAGGCAGTCTGCCCCTATGCCAACGACAAAAGAATCTAAGTTGGCATCTAAGCCAAGGCCTATCAGGCCGAAAGGAACTGAGCCAAATAGTTTTGTTCAGATGCCAGTTCCAAAAGTCCCATCATTTCCTATGTTCCTTCCAACAATTCCATCTGCTTTCCCACCAGAGACATATAATGACAATACACATAATGATGGCTACACTGTGGATATTCATTTATCTGGTAGTACACAAACTATGCAAAACAAGCATGAACATTCAGGTAATAATGCTGATACAAATAAACAAGCTACAGCAGCAACTGCTGAATTTTCTGATCGCCCAACCAGTGACATTATTGATGCATCTGACAGTCATTCATTGACTGAGCCAGAAGAAGTTCAAACGTTGAACAGTAACCCTACTGTTCAGGAAGCACCCATGTTTTCAGATGGTACTCTCATTAATGACAAAGCATTATCACCAGATATGATAAACAATGATGTGTGCCAAAAGCTAATGACTCAGGGTCAAATGGCTAGGGTTGTCTCAGATCTTGATGTTATGCATTATGATGATGAACCACCAGTGCTAGAAACAGTAAACAACTCTGACTACTGGGTAATAGGTGAGCCCAGTCAGTTGACCAAAATCCAACCGGTTGGTTCTGATGCACCAACTAATTTGTCTGAGCAAGATTTGCAACTAACTGAGTCTCTGTCAGAGTCCACAACATCTGTTGTTAGTGAATATCATTCATCTGAAGCAGAAAAGGAGGATCAGTCATACATATTTGTGGTTGCTGAGTCAGAATCAAGTGCCAACAACTCTACTAACCCTAGTAACAATGAAGCTACTGAACACTGCATAAAATCACAATTTGAAACAAGTGGACAAGTTTCGCAAGAAAGGGTTGAGGTGGGAAGGTTGAATTTGAGACGAGCACATACAGAAGATTCTGACGATAGCGATGCAACTTTGATATACTCATGTGATGAGGAAAACACATACTTTGAGGAGATATTCCAGGAGCCAGAGGGGCCAACCTGGCCTAGAAATGCCCCCTGGACTGATAACGAAGATGACAAGAACCCTCTATATGAAGGAAAGCTTGTGATTGTGTCAGATGTTCCTGAAGATCGTGATGGTGAGAGTACCTCTGACACCAACACGAGCAATGAAAGGTTATCATTAATCATAACAACATTGAGGAAAGACCTTGAGGAAAAGAAAACTGATAGGAGACAAGCTGAAAAGGAAGGGGAGAAGGACAAGGAAGATGTTACTCCAAGTACCAAAGTTTCAAAAGGAAAAGGGAAGAGAAAGAAACCTGTGAAACCCAGGAAAAGAGCAACAATACGTTCTCTGGACTCATCTGTTCCAAAGGAAGCAGAAGGCACTCCGAGAAGGAAAAAGTCTACTTCTAAGCATAGAAAGACTTTAATTGTGACGATACAAAGGAGAAATTTAGCCAAATGTACTACAACTTCAGAGACATCTGAAAATGTACCTGAAGTACAAGCAACTGCTGCAGAAACAGATGCCAAAGCTAAGGTCAAGGGAAATCAAAGAAAGGTGAAAAAGACAAGACGTAAGATTAAGCGGAGGCTGACTGCAAAGAGACGGAAGAAAAAAGTGTCGGCACCAAGTGTTGAGACAGTTGCAGATGAAGACATTGCTAAAGAAGAAGCAAAGGAGACTGAGGAAAAAAAGCCAGTCAGCAAGCCAAGGAGAACTATGACCCAAAAAAGGAGAGTGACAAAACAAGGAAGACGAAAGAAAATGACAGAGGCTACAACTGTAAAGAAAGAGAGAGAGCCAGAGGAAAAAGTTGAAAAGACAGATAGCGATGGTAAGTTCCTTCAACATGAATAACACATATTACACAGATTCTTTTATATCCATAGTATTTTGAATACGATGTAGTGCAGATTAGAGACTCAAGGTATTGCTGTGTGTGCCTCACATGAAGAGGATGTCCTAAGGAAAATTAAATGCAGGTAATGCAGTTGTCCGTAGTCGGTTTAACTGAAGTTTCCCACTATGATTGATGGTCTAATCTAGGACAAATACCCCTGTTTGTTGTGCATTGTTGCAGGTTTCTGTATGTATCCAGAAGGTGCTGTTAAGTCTGGGAACATGTCATTATTATCTTGACCATTACACTTAGATAAACGATGATAATCAGCAAGATTACCTGACCTTGTTGCTTGGTGACATTATCTATGACTGAATGATACAGACATAGAAGACCTTTCAATAGCTTTTGTAACAGCACAGCAACTTTGCAAAGATATTGCATGAATGGTGGCTGATATTAACACTCTTATCATCACCTCTGAGGCTGGAAGATTTGTAACTTTGTGTTCTAGACAATCGTTTAACTATACTCCAGTTGTTAACAACACAATCTCTCACATAATGCCTATCCTATCTTGAAGACCAGTCCCTACTTTACAGATAACATGTTTGCATAGTGTTGGAGGCAGGTATGTTTACATACATAGGCTAGGCTGACTATCATCAAATATTTCTCATTGTAGTGTAATTTTGCAGTTGTTGTTTACTCCAGGGTTCTATGGTTTTGCTATGCAATAAGATGATATTTTATGGTTTTACTCAGCTGGTTAATTTCAACATGTAAGTTGATGCATAGCTGTGTTTCTTTACTAAAATAGCAACCCCGCTAGAACTTGCCTGACAAGGTGCTGCATTTTGCTTTATATTTTTACAGCCATGATGTATAAACTATTCAAACATTACATTGAATTAATCTTTTGATGGCCCAGGATCTACGTTTCTGACATATCCTTTACTTATATCACAGGTCAAGGATGTTCTCAAGGTCATATAATCTAAGCAATTTATTTCTATTATATAACTTGTATATTCTGTAGGTGAAAGATTTCATATGTATATGTAATTTGGATACAAAGGTGTCAGTACTATTTGCTTATTCGGTTCCAATCTCTTTGAAGGACATTCCTGAGGTGGGTGTGTTGGATTTCTTCAGAAGTGTTTTTGGCCTATTGCATGGGGGGATAATATGTTTTGATTGAATTTATGTGTTGTATTAGGTATTAAAATAGGTACTAGATCACTGATATTTCACAGTTAAGATAACAGTTATATAGGTCAAGGTCGAATTGTCATTAAAGGCTACAGTGTTATCAAATCTTGTAAATCCAACTAGTTATCTAAATGTATAGTGTACAAATAACTATTTGTGTATCTTCCATATATCTTTTCCTGACTTTAGCATTGAACTAAATCTATCACTTTAGTTTTGTCCTGTGAAAGTCAAGGTCACAATGATGATCTTCATTTTGGTTCACATCTGGTACATGACTTGAATTCAATACTGGCATGATAGAGCAGAATTATTAAAATCATGACAATCTTCAAGAATGTCCTGATGCAATTTGCATGATGCAAAAGTGCTAGAAGTTTACATGATTTTGGGGGGGCAGGGTGGCCCAGTCGTCTAAGCCCGTGCTCGTGGGTTTCACCGAGGTGGTAAACGTCTGAGACCTACATCACTTCGGGCTTTCCTCCCACATTAAGCTGACACGCCGTGATATGACTGGAATACTGTTAAACCCAACTCACTCACTCACTCACTCACTACATGATTTTGGTGTTATTTGGTGACTTAATTCACAGCAGATGGGTATTTATAAAGTTTGTTTTATTGAAATGATGACATAGAAATTTTAAACAAATGACATTGATTCATATTGAAGAGACATATGTTTGAATTATTTCTTTTTTGTAGGGGCCATAGCTTTTATATGCAATATCATTTATACACAATAAAGAGGACTATCTGAGAAAAGAATAATACTGCTAAAAATACTGTAGATACAATATTGCAGAAAGTATCGTTTCAAAATCCATATTGCACTGGACTAGTATTTCAATAATACTGTTTACCTCCAGTGATCACAGGAAATAAAGAAATAATAGCCATGCTCAATGGAACAAACACTATCTTATCAAAGGTTAGGAACCTATTATCTGATTTTTGTCTATCCACCTTGCATTTTGTGTTTTGTGTAAGACAAAGCCTTTGTCTCCTTGTTATTAGTGTAAGCTTTGACTGCTAGTGCTAGATGGACATTCATTCATCACAATAGTTAGCAGAAAACTAAATTGAGAAAAACTCTAAAAGAATGTTAGAATAAAGTAAGAAAACCCTTTGCGTATTATTTTTGTGTCCTGCTCCATCATTTGCACCCATCACAATCTGATGGACAAGTTGTTTAAAGTGAAATGAGCAGAATGCCTATGGTAGTCAATTGTCCATCTAAAGTCATGATATTTAGATAAGGTTTCTCATTTCCTAAACCATTCTTTTTTCTAAACACAGACATTAATCGAAACATGATACAGATCTCTCTGAATATTTATGACTTCAGCAAGTGAACCTGAACCAAACTTTATATTTCCATGCAGAATTTCTAAGATAACCTTCTTGATGGACCTGTTATCAGCAGTTGTTTTGATTACAATAAAAAATTTATGCTAACATATGTTGATCCTTGCCTTTTAGCCCACGCCACGAAAGGGTATATAGGAACGGAGTTCATCCGTCCTTCTGTCTGCTTCTCAAAGGGGACAAATTTTCCCAAAAACTGCTTACGTCAGAGAAATGGAATTTTACACACTGATATCACTGGTCATGATCTCAAATGAGTTCGAAAATTGGTGTCATTCATTAAGTTATGGGACTTGCTCCGTGCTTCTCCGTGAAATGGGGACAAGTTTTCTCAGAAACTACTCAAGTGAGTTATGGCCCTTGATCCATGTTATTTTACTTGGTGCATAGTGTCTGCAATGGGTACAAGTTTTCTCTGAAACTACTGCAGTTAGCTTATCCAAGAGATTGATGTTTTTTTCTGATGTCATAAAACGGCCCAAGTGCCTATCTCTATCTCTTCTGAAGGCTTTATGGGACTCTTTTTTCATAGTGAATATTCACTACTATATCAAAAAACAAAATTCTAATGTGCCCCAAGGAGGGGCATCATGATAATGCTGTTTTCTTGCTTATGCCGTCTCTTATGAGTTCTAAGTTGAGTGGGGAATGAAGAGATGGCCTAGTGGTCCAAGGTTTGCTGATCACACTGAAAGGTAGGGTTCCATCCCCAACATGCATACAATGTGTAAGGTCCATTGCCGCAATTGTGCTGGAATATTGCTGAATTCCTCTGTCAATTTTTTCACACTCATAACAAGGGTCAATGACATTGGTAAGACTTAAGTCTTTGATAGGCATTTAATAGTTGCAAGAACATGAATACTTGATGATTTTTTTGGATAACAACTTTTATTCTTTGTCATGACATTAGTAGCTCTGAAATGTCATGACAAAGAATAACAGAATATCCCTAAAAACTGTCATGTATTCATGACACTAGTAAGGTCATAAGTTACACTAAAACCCTGATGATGACACACAGTATATAATCACCTCCTTGTTGAACTGATCTACCAAAATAGGATTCTTATTTTATGTGACAAACAAATTCCAGAATAGATCCCCATTGTCTCATAGTTGAATCCAATAAATAATACAGCCAAGAGATAATAAAACATGGGCAATTGAAAAATTGTCCAGTTTTGGTGATACAAGAATATGATACCTAAAAATGAATTCCCATGATCTAAACATAGGGTCCAGAAAATGTAGTTCTCAGCTTTGGGGTGATCTAAACATAGGGTCCAGAAAATGTAGTTCTCAGCTTTGGGGTGATCTAAACATAGGGTCCAGAAAATGTAGTTCTCAGCTTTAAAGTTATCAAAACATAGGGTCCAGAAAATGTAGTCCTCCGCTTTGGGGTGATCTAAACATAGGGTCCAGAAAATGTAGTTCTCAGCTTAGGGGTGATCTAAACATAGGGTCCAGAAAATGTAGTTCTCAGCTTTAAAGTGATCAAAACATAGGGTCCAGAAAATGTAGTCCTCCGCTTTGGAGTGATCTAAACATAGAGTCCAGAAAATGTAGTCCTTAGCTTTGGGTAAACTAAACATAGGGTCCAGAAAATGTAGTTCTAAGCTTTGGGGTGATCTAAACATAGGGTCCAGAAAATGTAGTTCTCAGCTTAGGGGTGATCTAAACATAGGGTCCAGAAAATGTAGTCCTCAGCTTTGGGGTGAACTAAACATAGGGTCCAGAAAATGTAGTTCTAAGCTTTGGTGTGAACTAAACATAGGGTCCAGAAAATGTAGTTTTAAGCTTTGGGGTGATCTAAACATAGGGTCCAGAAAATGTAGTCGTCAGCTTTAGGGTGATCTAAACATAGGGTCCAGAAAATGTAGTTCTCAGCTTAGGGGTGATCTAAAGATAGGGTTCAGAAAATGTAGTCCTCAGTTTTGGGGTGAACTAAACATAGGTTCCAGAAAATGTAGTCCTTAGCTTTGGGGTGAACTAAACATAGGGTCCAGAAAATGTAGTTCTAAGCTTTGGGGTGATCTAAACATAGGGTCCAGAAAATGTAGTCCTCAGCTTAGGGGTGATCTAAACATAGGGTCCAGAAAATGTAGTTCTCAGCTTAGGGGAGAACTAAACATAGGGTCCAGAAAATGTAGTTCTCAGCTTAGGGGTTATCTAAACATAGGGTCCAGAAAATGTAGTCCTCAGCTTTGGGGTGATCTAAACATAGGGTCCAGAAATGTAGTTCTCAGCTTTGGGGTGATCTAAACATAGGGTCCAGAAAATGTAGTTCTCAGCTTAGGGGTGATCTAAACATAGGGTCCAGAAAAGGTAGTCCTTAGCTTTGGTGTGAACTAAACATAGGGTCCAGAAAATGTAGTTCTAAGCTTTGGGGTGAACTAAACATAGGGTCCAGA